AATTAAAGCAACAAAACAACCTGAAGAGCCGGTTCGGAGCCGAAAGAGCTCTTTTTAGTGAGCCGAACCGAAAGAGCCGGTTCTCTAAAAAGAGCCAGAAATCCCATCACTACAGTGAAGGAGTTATGGGAGGATGCTGTTAAGTGCAGAGCTCAAACAGATGCGTAGAAAGTGCATTCAAAGCACAACCTCCCTGTAATGGTATCACAAACAACTCTCACACAGTACATTCAGTAGTTTTGGAGTAGTGTTGCTACACTCACCAAAATTGCTACTGCTATTCTTATTATTAGTAGTAATACACCTTACTTATGTTGAAAAAGACACACAGTTTTAACGTTGGCCCCTTTATGTGTGTGACATGCATTTTCATGACACAAAAAAATGTACACTCCTTCATTACTAATTGTACACATCATTCACCACTTCAATGGTTTCTCTTTTATCTTGATACTGTTCTGTGAGAGAACCAGGAAAAGAAGTGGCTCTACTGGATTCCACTTAACGTTCAAATATTTTCTGTCTAAGCAGCAATACTTTTATTTGTAATTTTATTGTATCTTTATTTTGAACATGTTTAAATAGACAAACAAGAAAATCAAAACTGAAGGAAAACAAAACAATAATAATTATAAATAACTTACATGTTCAAAAAGGAGTAGGGAAAAGCATAAGCTTATTTAATCCCACCACCTTTCCGCAATTTAGTAACTAATAGTCAACACTTTTTTCTTCCTGTTCATGCGCTACCCATCATAAATTCTTCCTTACAATTTGTTACATGTATTTGCTTTTATAACCTGAGTAACACGTCAAAAGATATACAAATTTACAGATATATATACTTATACTTGTTCACCCACACACACACATCCCTATTGTGAAAATTTACAAACTGAAGTATAGAAACTGGGAGAAAACTGGAAAAATAAAAAAGAATGACACAGTTACAAAAAAAAGTTAAACATTTTCATGGCATCTTTACAGGTTTTGAGTTAGCCTCAGTGAAAGAAAGCGAATACTCTTACGTTTAAAAACCTGAAAAGTAAATGGACCAGTTCTTATATACTGGCTTCTGCTCTACCTGAGCACTCAAAGAACTTTATACAATATGTTTATTCACACATAAAGTACTTCCTGTCTAACACTCACACTCCAATGAACACACTGGAAATAACTCAGGGTTCAGTATCTTGCCCAAGGATGCTTTCGGCATGCAAACTGGAACAGCCAGCAATTCAACCACCAACCTGCTGTTTACCCTATGAGCCACAGTCATAACAAGAACTAAAAACCGCATTAATTTCTTTTGCACACAGAGTCCCCCGTACACCCACAGACCAAAATGTGAATATTTCAGTTTATTAAAATGTAAAGTAAACATCAAATAATGAGGTTAAGCTTTTCTCTGTGCCCTTTTATTTTCACTGGAGAGAATGGGCATTTCGGTTCAAGGATTTTCAATGTAAATATTATTAAAAAGGTCTGATGAGACAGTAGATTAAATTCTAACAACTCTGAGATCTGGTCCCGCTTGATTCCTAGAAGCCTACCAACTGGAACAGTATGCTTGTGAAAGAAAGTCTTTGTTGTGGGTGAAACAATACTACAAGCTTTTTATATTTGAAAAAAACAAACAACTTTTGTGGTTAATGATATGCAGGTTTTCAGTTGTCTACTTTTTTTTCAAAGGCTATTGTTCAGTGATGGGCAATTAATTTTCCCATGGGACCACATGAGAAACTGGGACTGTTGTGGAGGGTCTCACCAATAAGTGTATAAAGATATTACATTAATATTGAGCAGAATTGAGTTCAGTTTAATCCCCTGCTATAGCCATTAGTAGGAAAGAAAACAGCATCAAGTACTAACCTGCAGGGTTCATTTAAATACCTTTAAGCTGTCAGGCAGGTTATAAAAGCCTATTTTTAATTTGCTTCTTAGCAAAGACTGAAAATCTCACTAGAAAACATCTCTGGAATGTGACTTCTCACACTCAGAAAAATCGAAACCACAAAACAGTGCTGCCCCTCTTATCACCCAGCCTATCTGCTTGCTCAATGAGCCTGTGTAGCATCATCCAGGTGCGGCACTTCAAAACTAACAGGGGAGGGGGGCGGGATCTGAAACTGCAGGGGGTGGGGGCTCTGGTGGAGGTATTTCTGCCATCTTATTTGCGTGTCACAGAGACCCGGAGGAGGACTGGCACTGATCTGCTCTGACACAAACAGGTGAGAACACAATACGGCACAAAAATGGACTTCACACCCCTGTTCGTGGCCTGTGTGAGGAAGGCCTCATTACCAAATCTGAATTGCTTTCCTTTTCTATGAATAATGAATTTGACCTGCTTAATTGGGGCTGGCACATCTCCAGAAAGATTCATCACAAGAGATTAAAGCACTAAGCACAGGTCAAAATGTTAACAGGCGCTTGAAGAGAATACAGAACAGATGCAATATGACAAGATGCAGAGAGACTGGGGAGAGGGGAGAGCACGAGATACATTTGTTAGTAGTGTTTACAAGCAGATTAGATTTTTGCACAAGTTTTATTGTGGAATGGTTTTATTCAGATAATAATAACTGTCCACATGTGTTAATAACAAAGAGTAAATGCTTCAATATCACTTTATCATGGTGGATGAGTTTTTTGTGTATAGGAATACAGCTTTACAGGTTGCGAAAGGGGGTGAGTTGGGAATGAGTGTAGAGTATGACAGATAAAACGTACAGAAAGTTTTTCATCAAATATTTCCTCAGGTTGAACATCTGAGAAAACATCAGCAGCATGTCAAAAGGTGAGTATTTGATAAGATTAAACATGGAAGAAAAAACTATTTCTTGGTATGCAGTACTGATAAAAGTGTGTGTGTGTGTTGTAGATATTAACAGAAGCGAGGTGCTTCAAAACATCAGGGTGCGGTCTACATTAAAAATGGACGGCAGCTGGATCCAAAGATCAAATGATGCCAAGAAAGAACAAGACACAGCGGGGTACTCACAGTGATTAAGATGCAACTTCAAAAATTGAGTTTTAAAATTTTGTTTTTTTAATTGAAAGGGATAATTGAAGCTGTCCTGTCTCAGTGTCACAGCAACCTCTTCTGTGTTGCAGAACGAACACAGATGTGGAAACTAAACCTATTCCAGCTAGGAGTTCACAAGTCCGGTTGGCAGCCAGGAGATTTGAGTGAGTGCTGCAAAATTATTTTAAAAAAGAAAAAACACTTTTGAATGTAAACGTTGCTCAGGCACACCGGATTTAACTGACAAATACACAGAAATGGTAAAACAAACAAACAAAAAAAAACAACTTTCCTTTCTAATGTTTCAAGCATCCACACATATGAAAAATAATAGTCTAGTCCTTACCATGGCTTGGTAAATATAACTTCAGATGAACTTTAAAACTTCACATATTACAATATGTTTTTTTTTAAGACAACAACAAAGCAAAAATGCAGAAGTAGTGTGTGAAGAACTAAGTACAGCCTTATCACCAAATTCGCCCTAAGGTGCTTAGAGAAATCAAATCAGAGTCTATAGGCCTCGGTTAGCATGCAAAATGTTAAAATTTGTGACAGTGCAACCAGGAAAAGACTGAACAACAGAAGTGGAGATGTCTGACCATAGTGTGTAGTTTCATGTTTGGTAAAACACCCCCCAAAACAAACAAACAACAACAAAAAAATGCACAAACATTTTATAGCAACTCTTAGGCATGTTGGTGGACGGGTGATGATTTGGGCTGGTTTTGCAGCCACATGAAGTGGGCACCTTGATATCACTAACTTGACCATGATGAACTCCTCTGTATACCAAAGTATTCTAGAGTCAAATGTGAGGGCATCTGTCTGACAGCTACAGCTTGTCCAAAACTGGTTCTTTCAACGGGACAATGAATCCAATCACATCAGCAACTCTATAACAGAATGGCTGAAAAAGAAAAAAGGCAACAAGTTAAAGAAAAGTGGACCAAAATTCCTCCGCAATGATGTGGCAGATTGATAAAGTCATACAGGAAGCTATTCAAGTTATTGTTGCTAAAGGTGGTTCTACCAGCTACTCAGTCACTGGTTGTTCTTTTCACACACTCCTCCTGCATTTTGCCTTAGTTTGTTTTTTTAAACCGTGTAATACGTCACGCATTGTTGTTCATCTGAGGTTGTATTTCAGAAACTTTAAGAGCATGATTTACTTTCAATATGCCCTCATATGTAAACCTCAGAACTGACAGAGGCCATAAATTTTTACCATGACTGTAAATCTTTTTTTTTTAAAAGAAAAATAATGTAAAACTTAAATATTAGACCCATGTGTATGGCACCACACAGTGTGGTGGCAGTTCTGCAAGTTAAACTCAAATTGTCCTTCGACTGTGCTGTGTCATTGAATCATAACTAAAAATATTCCAGGCTTCAGGCACAAATCACCATCTGTGATATTAACATACAGTACAAAAACATTAACTTAGCCCTGGGCATCTGTACCGCATCCATAAAACTCTAAAGTACACTGCAGTGTGACCTACACTTAAGCTGGTTGATCAAACGTTAATCTTACTGGGGTGCTTCCCTGTAGGACACATGCGTATTTTTTCCTTGAATACTGTAGCAAAAGCTTTCTAGGGAACAACTTAACATATGAGATTGTTAATTATATGGTATGTGACAAATGTTTTACCAGCTTTGTTAAAAAAAAGGTTAATGTTAATATTAATACCCCTGTGCATTAAAATTATGATTTTGATATAGGCATCCAATAATTATAGTCATATACAGAGTTGTTTTATACAGGTAATAGAACAGAAAGATGTTCTTCTGCTTGGTTGCACAATATTTCTACTAAATAAAGGATACGTCAGCCTTAGCTGCCTGACTATTGTCGGCAAATGTATCAATTGCACTGACATTACATCACTCAGCCTGAACATGTACATAACACAGACACACACACACACACACACACACACTCAACTATGGCTACAGCAAAATTTTGTAAATTATTAAGGTTATGGACAAATTTTTGCTTCAAACACATTTAAAAATATCTTTATTCTACATGTCTGACTTTTTCCCCTGAGACCACGTAGGGTTCATTCTTCCAGGTGAACAGAAAGAAGCAAATTATTTAAAAAGGTCTTGGGTTTACTTTTATATCAGTTTCTGTGTTCACAATTATTCAGGATACTTATGTTCACAGGCCACTTTATTATGTACACCTTGCTTGTACTGGGTTGGACCCCTTTTCCTCCAGAACTGTCTTAATTATTCATACCATAGATTCAACAACATGCTGGAAACCTTCCTGAGATTATGATCTACATTAACATGATAGCACAGTGCTGCCATGTGATTGGCTGACTTGATATATACATTAATGAGAAGCTAAACAGGCGTACCTAACAAATAGGCCAGTAGATGTAAGTAAAGGAACAATAGAATCACATGTACAATTTCAAACTATTTAGGGAAAAAAAGACAACAACCGTTGGAACCAAAAATGGACATATTTTCTTTGACCTCCAAAGAAAACCATGACAACAGCAGTAGGTGTATCATATTCTAAAGCTGCATCATCTGTTGATGACACATCCTTCAATAAATGGTTCCAACTTCCACTCAAAATCAGTCTGGTAGTTAAGAGGCTTGATTGTGCTTCAGAGACATCTTGCACAGCATAAAGTGTAGTTATCAGACATCTACAACAGATAACATATGAAAATGTGCCCAAGCTTTAAATCCATTCTTTTATCCGTTCCAGTGTGTTTGAGATAATCGAGTGAATTTGTCACATTACTTAGATACATAAAACAAATGACAGAGTGAAGCACCAGTGTTATATCTGTGCAGAACTGCTCGGGCAACTCACACCTCACAGCCTCCCCTCCCTCACTTGCTGTCAGAGACCACTAAACTGAAATCATGCCCCTTACCAATGATGGTTAGCTTCGCTAACTGACTGGCCAGCAATACCAAAAAAAAAGATGGCACTGAATATCTACAAATGTCCTTTTGCTCACAATCCCCTAGGCTGAAGCAACTTGTGAGTGCTTTGCAAGTGTTTTTCTTTTATGGGTCACTTAATTTAAATGGCTTGCCATCCAATAATTCACAAGAAGATGGAAGCATTTATGAAGAGAAATTACAGATTTTTGTTAAGCAGAAATATTTCCTCTATTTTTCTTTTAATATCCTTTTGAAAATCATGTTCACCTTGGGACTCCCAACCCATTGAAAACCACAGTTGTGCAGCATTCAAACATTATTACCGGATAACTAAAACTGAGCTCATTGTTGAGTAGTAATTAATAACAATGCAAGCCTTCCTCAAACTGGGCTCTCTGCAGGGAGGCAGCAGGAGGTGGTTCACTATATTAAAAACAGGACTGTAATTAATTCAGTATTTTGAAAGACAGAACGAGCCTGTGTTCATTTCTGCTTTGCTCAATTATGCAGTCAATCACACTTTCATTTTTATAGCAATGAATTAGGAAGACGGCCCAGCATCTGTGAGGTCTCCTACAGTGTGCACTCCCGGCACTGGTGTTGACAAGGAGGGTGCAGCTATCTGGCCAGGGTGGTGGGCTGATATCATGTGTCTGTCACAGATGGTGAAGGGGTTCAGTGGGTAGATCCCAGATTTCCTAAAGCCTTCCTTCACAATTCTCACACCTTCCTCCTCCTTTGCTACCTGATATGTTCCTTTGAAAACCCCTGAGAACTCCTTTTTGCTAACTGCAAAGTGGGTGTCAGTAGTGTAGTCGTCGCCTAGGAATGAAGCAAAGTGCTGCTTGAGGACCACAAAGAGACCGTCATTGAGTGGCTGGAGGATGTGGGAGCAATGAGGTGGGAGGCACAGAAGAATGACATCCTCCTTACGAGCTGTTTCCACCACCTCCAGGTTCACGGGTGACTTGTGGCCATCGAAAATCAGCAGCAGTGGACGCTCCTTTGGTGCGTGCACGAGAAAATGTTTGAGGAACCATTTCTTAAAGAGGTCTGAATTGATACATCCCGAGTCTGACCACCCGTATAGGGCATTCGGTGGTCCTTGTGTCTTGTAGCATACTCCCCCTGGATAGGCCTTTGAGTAGATTATAAATGGGGGGATGTCCTCTCCAACCGCATTAAAGCAAGCCAGGACGGAGACATGGTCCCTGGAGCCTGGCGCTGGCTTGTAGCCTAGACCGACAGATTTGGGGAGAGTCACCCTCTTCCTACTCAGCTGAAAGTCTGTGTCATTGCAGTTGAAAATTTGGTGAGGTTTGTCTATGAGCTCATGAGCATCTACAACAGTCCTCAGGAGGTGAAAAAACTGATCTACTGCTTCCTTTCTCACTGACACAGTCCTCCCACGGACAACATTGTCTGCTGGCTGAATAGTGATGTTTTTCTCTTGTCTCTTTCTAAAATTGAGCCACCATGTCTGGCCCAGTTTGGAAAATGCCACCCTCCGGTGTTGCCGCTTATAAATTGACGATGCGAAGGACACCAGCTGCTGCTTTGTAAGTGGGAATCCATGCCTGGACATGTATAAGGAGAACTCGACCAACAACTCCTCATCAGCAGATGTTATAAGCTGAGCCGGGCCGCTACGGCTCCCAGGGGTCACCCGTCCACTGACTCTGTCCCCCAGTGAAGATTTAGGGACTCCAAACTCCTTGGCAGCTTGTCTCACTGTGCACCTGCCTGACTTGACCTCTATCAGTGCACGCTCCATGGCGTCCTCTGTCCACCTCTTCTTTTTCTTCCTCCCGATTTTATCAAGGTGATTTCTCGATGGCATTTTCCCCCCTAAGGCAACACAAGAAAATACTGAGATGAACCATACAAGTAAAAATCCGACAGCCACAAAGTGGCCTGGCTAAGCACCAAAAAGAATCACAAATCACATTGACATTGGTATAAGCTTACTAATTAAACACATTTTTACTTTACCAGAAATAATTGCTTTGTACTTTGTGTAGTTGGAGTTTATTGCAGTCCTTCAGCGCTCATGACAACCAGATATAAAAGGCTCGAGTTTGTTAGTCACCTATAAAGCTGACTTTATTAAACAGGTAATGCATTTTTAGATCTCTAAGCTCATTTCAATAAGAATAAAAGATCTTGCTATTTTTGTTGTTTTTTTGCTTAAAAGGGGCCCAAAGCGATGTTTAGAGCCTGCACTAATGTATTGAAATAACAAGGAACAGAATGCCATTTAAGATTTTATTTTTTTAACCGGGCCTAAAATAATATTTATGCTATATTTTGTTTTGAAAAACACTGTATCAGTGTTAAGTAACCTGATAGGCTTATGTCAAGTTTCTTTCAAAACCTGGTGGAAAGCATCGGGAAGTAACATTTTTGGAGGCACCTCATTTAGCTCTAAAAATGATACAGCAGGCCACATGAATTTTCTATTAACTACTATTATGTTTTTTTATTAAAAGTAAAAGTCGTAAAATACGAAGCGACTTACTCGTCTCGGACCGTGCTGGTATTATTTTTGATGTAAAACAGCAGACGTAAGGACTGTGGTGCTATTTTGAGACGATACTACACTTGAAAACAGCCCACCTGGGTAGTGTTGATTCCACAGTGGCCACTGATATGTCTGCTAGTTACAGAGAATTAAAATAATGCTGCTACATTTGACTATCGCCGTTAACTTTTCCGCTTAGCAATATGCTACTACTTTACGAAGCCGGGGAAAAGCGGAACAAGACCGGAAGTGTTTCCACGACGCTTTCAAAATAGAGGTATCAAGAAAATAAGAGCCCAAGCCTATGGAGACGCTGACCACTGACCAAAACAATAAATTGCACTACAGTGCCCTTGTAATGATAATCAGCTAGGCAGCATTGTTGTGAAAAAAAAATATTTTTCTCCCTTCTTGATTTATTTATTTTATTTTTTGTACATATTTGTCACACTTACATGTTTCAGAACAACAAACACATTTTAATATTAGACAAGGATAACCTGAGTAAATACAAAAACAGTTTTTAAATGATCCTTTCCTCTATTAAGGGGGAAAAAAATGTCCAACACTACCTGGTCTTATGTGAAAAGTAATTGCCCTCTCGTTGTGCCACCCCTGGCAGCAGGAACTGAAGCGTTTGTGATACTGCAGTTCTTTTAATTTAGCCACACTGAAGGGCTGAACAGTCTAATAGAGAACATGCCAAAATATCTCAATTGGATGTAAGTCCCACTTTGTCTAGGCCACTTTAAAACCTTTCCAAAAGGGCTTGCTGGTGTATTTCACTTCTTATCCGTACCTTGTATATTTGTGCTGCTACATAAAGCATAATGCTTACATCATTGTTCCATTAATTTATCACACCACCACCACTGTTGATGTCTTGATGATTTGGTGTTCTTTTATGAATATGTTAGAATATATTCACCTATCTATCTATCTATCTATCTATCTATCTATCTATCTATCTATCTATCTATCTATCTATCTATCTATCTTCTGTCTGTCTGTCTGTCTGTCTGTCTGTCTGTCTGTCTGTCTGTCTGTCTGTCTGTCTGTCTGTTTTTCTTTCCCAGATTATCCCAGCAAACACTGTTATGTTCTCCTTATTTGGAGTAAAACCAGAGACACCGCTATGAAGAGGCCTCATGAAGCTTAGCTTCCCCAAAGTGTTCTTACCAACACTAACCCAGCAAACACTGTTATGTTGTCTTTATTTGGATGTTCCAAAATTACAGTTTTTCTCAGTCGCTTTGGTGCGTTTCTCAGAACACCATTAACATTTGCACAGCAGTTAGTGCATTTCCCAAAACAATTAGTGCAAACTGCAAAACCTAGTGGATAACCAGCAAAAGCACGTCACATGCACAGAATTGATTATCCATACCTCAAAAGCGAGTATCCATGTCAATGAAACTGTCAGTGCCATCAAAATGAAAAGTCTTGACACCATCTTTATGAACAAGATAGTCAAATGGCATTGTCATGTTTCCACTATGACAGTTTATAATTTCAGTGTTTCCCATTGCAAAAACAATTGGTGACACCTGAAAATGCTGACGACAGCACTATGGCCTACCTGTACAGCCATCTGAAATGTGCAGTAAAGTCACTGTAGATGTTATGGGAGTCTTGGGAGTAACTGAGACACTGAATATGTACGTTTCACATTTCCATTGTGTAGAAGTGTTTGTAATCCTACAGAATTGTGCAAAAGAAAAATATGCTACAGTCACTTGTTCACTGTAGAATACATGTAAACATAAAATCACCCATTTGGTAGAGCCTCCTCATGAGTGACAGCTGTAATTCACCTGAGATCAATTGTTCAATTTCGGAGACATTTCCAGGAAAAATGATACAGAAAGGTATAGGATTTGCTTGACAGATGGCCAATATTTGGCATGTGATAACTAGTTCAACAATTTTGTGTATGATGACTTAAGCAATGGATGTATGACTATTAGTTTTATTGGGAATGACTATTCAGCATCCATAGGTATGATTACTTTTGACTGACAATGACATAAACAAATGGAAATGTCAGAAAGCAGCAGGGAAATGTATGGAAGCAACTGATTCATGTCCAAAATCATTTGCAGTTTGTTCAGAGAGAGGAGAAATTGCTACTATGATGTGCACAAATGACTGAGTGTTGTGGAGGTTGAACTAATAGTTATGAGAATTTCAATTCTGATCTGAGAAACGCACCAAAGCGACTGAGAAAAACTGTAAAAGTTGTGCTGATGTCTTAGCCATCTGCTGTACCTTTCGCCCTTTCGGCCTTTTACGCATCTGTTCCCTGGGTCTGATGGTTCAAAGTCCATAAACATTTTCTATCAAGTCAGATTTTTTTTTAACAGAAATAATAGAAATGCACTAAAAAGATAGACAAATGTGTGTATACTCGCTGTTTTAGATGACCGCAATTGACACAAGTCATAAACCTTCTGAATTAATAGTTCAGTTCACACACTCATGAATGACAAACACCACATGTTTTGCTGTCACTTGTTAAGCTGCAAAGGGACCATTACCTCACAGTTTGTTGTGTATACAGCATATTCTTCTGTATCAAGAGGCTTTGCTCCTGCGGGAAAAGTTAGATTTTAGTTTGTGTGTCTCTCATTTATTACCAGCCTCAGCCACCACTTCACTGCAACGTGTCTGGTGATATTTACACCATTAATAAACATTGTGTTGACATTTAAGGCCTTATTTGTTAGCTTTGTTTCATCAATCACTGATTTCACATGCTCAGAATGCTCATCCTTCAATGCAGGTTGCACTCTTCATACAAATTTTTTTTAATGTAAGTTATGGATGAACGTTGTTTATATAAGAGATTCTGAAACTCCCAGAATACTGCTGACGCTGTATTCATTAAGCAAGCACTATATATGATAGCTAATGATGTACATTTATATTATTGCTCACTAGATACATCAGTCACTACTCTAATGTGGAGCATTTGGCTTAGACTTTATTTCTGAGCCAACATAGTTAGAAGGTGATGAAATCTCTTATTGGTTCTGAAGAAGCAATTAAGAAAATATAAGGCTTTCTCTTTTCTCTTCTTATTCGTACCTTGTAGAGCAATAGATCCTCCACCAAGTTCTCCTCTTCAAAAGGCAGAGGTCATTTCATCTGAAGGGTATGTTGGTGCTGAATGTAAATTAAACTGTGCAAAACCTGAGCAAATATTTACTGCTTCTCTGCAAATCTGCATATTTCAAGCTTAATCTCAGTTAAATCTGAACATTTAAACCAAATACTCAGTGCTTTATTTGTCTGTTTTAGGAATTCAGCTAATCAGGCAAGTGCTGAAAATATTTCAGCTCCGAAAGACACTCGGCCTGAAGGCTCAACAGTGAAGATAGAGTTAGTATACGAGACTGTAACTGGAAGTGTTAAATTTAAAGATGCTGAGTGTTTGTTATTTTGCTTACAAATCAAATTTTTTGTTGCAAAGTGGGGAAGAAGTAACACTCTCTTTTACAGGCCTCAACCCCCCACAAAAGCACCTATTCAAAATATTAATGCACAGCCAGAAAAGACATTTACTGAAGCAACTGCAGAAAACACGGAACAACATGCTGATGCACCAGCTGACACCTGTCACAATGAGGATAAGGCCTCCGCAGATGCTGATGTGAAAAATCCCCCTGCAGAAATCTCTGCTGCGGAAGGCACAGCGAGAGAGAGTAGTGAGAGTAAAAGCACCGCTGGAGTCTCTGGAGAATCTGTAATCAAAACAGAACCGCCAAATACAACTAATTTAGAGCACGCAGGAGTAAACATGTATGGACCACCTGCTTTGGCAACATCGGGAAAAGAAGCTTCTCTCCAAGGCGGTGTGGAAACACCCGCTGTAAGTGATGCAACACCAGAAGAAGAAACTGCTCTACAAAACAGCACCATATCAGTCACCGACACTCTGCCTGCACCATCTAGTCAATCCGATGCTGACACTGCCAAGGGTGTGGAGTTTAAAGTCGAGTGTGCACCACCCTCTGAGCCGGATTTTAAGAGCGGAACTGAAGAGGCGGTTGAGCGCGAAGATGAAGGCACTGTTGTTGAACAAAGTTTTGATCCAACACCTAAGACAGCAGCAGACTGTGACAAAGAGTTGAACATTGAAGATGCCCTTGACCAAGTAGCTGCTTCAGATGCAGAAGGTGTTTTGGATAACACAGAGCACGCAGCTATTAGACTGACTGATGCTTCAGATGTGGAGACGGCCAAGGCTGAAGCTGTTCCTAAACCTGTGGAAGATCCAAGACAACCCCACTCTGAGGACTTCAAACCAAACCAAAAGTGTGATGATAGCCATATGTGAGTGTTTTTATTTAAAAAAAATAAAGGAACAGTAGAGTATTCAATGTTGTTCGCATATTTTTATTTGAGCACTAAAATCATCCTCATTGTTTGTGACTGTTTTTGTAGTTCTGATGTGTCTCAAAAGCCTGCAGAGGACATAAACTCAACAAAAACTCTGAATAAGCCCATGTAAGTTTCTCACTCTTACTGTACATAGTTATACAACACTCAAAAAATATCTATCCCTAAAATGTTGACATTAAGTAATTTGATTACATGTAAATTTTCCAAGTGGTTTAGTTACATACATTAAATGTAAAACAGTAATTTAATGGACTCTGGTCATGATTGTTATACATTTAGCATATCTTCCTTAATTGATGAAGTATTTGAATAAATTCACTTTTGATTTCATATATTTCAGTTACATTTAGTCAAAATTATTGCTTTGTGTTTATGAGAGCCAAGAATGTTTTTTTTTTTTGAGTGTACATAAGTGTAAAAATGAATAAGGTTCATAATCTTTGCTTTGTTTTTTAACCACCTGCTTCAGTCATGGCAAATCTCCTTGTTACTTCTGCAACCAAATCATTAATGGAAATGTCAAGATCATGTTCAGTGAGCCCTCGATAAACTGCCACCCAGACTGTTTAAAGGTTTGTTATGTCTTCTTTTGTAAAAATGCTGTATATCTGTGCTTTTATGATATCCTTTCACTATCTCTCGTACATGAAATTAACACTGAGTATGCTTTTGCAGTGCGGGGTTTGTGCTAGGGCCCTTGGAGATATGCTGGCCCCCATGTTTTTGAAGGACCAAGTGATCCAGTGTGGAGTGTGTTTTTCAAAAGCGGTTAAGAAATGATGCCTATTTGGGACAAATATGTTTCCAGAAAATAGTCCAAGCATACCTTGATGAATGTGCTGTCTATTATTTCCCATAACTTCCCTATCGACTTCTTCTTTCTTTCTTTTTCTGTCACAACTGTATCCAGTAAAAGGGCAGTATATTGTTATGATTAATGATTCTGCAATGAAAAGGATAAATTAAAAATACAGCAAAAAAAAAAAAAAAAATACCAGCAATGCAACTGTATATGGCTAGAATAAAATTCCACGCATCAGATTTAAATGTTTTAATGAGCCTTAATTTCAAATAAGCACACACAAGTCTAAGTAGCAGGGCTACACGCTAAACACCTGGAGACAAGTTACTGAAGCATCAACCCCTCTGCAACCTAAAACAGCTTATATTGGGCTAAACACCTTTTTATCCCACCTACCATGGTAGCATTTAGACGAAAGAGAAAAAAAAGAGACTGTATAAGTATGACTAAAAAGCACGTTTATTGTAAGTGAAAGCTCAACGGGAAAATTTGGTTCGTTCAGCCTCACTCGTTTTAGTTCATGCAGTTTTGAAGGCTGATAATAGAGAAGCCACAAAATCATACTGAGAGCCAATTTGGGTGTCAGTAACCACTGAATACTGTGCATGCAGTTATGACTTGCGAGGCAAGCTGTCATTGCTCTTAATTATTCATGAAACATCATAAATCACAATGAGCACCAACAAAGCCTCACACAAAGGATAAAGTGAGAGATAGAACCAGCAATGGGAAAACGAACAACAAAGCTAAGAGAATCATCTTGAAAGGAGGATCTGATGCACAGGCCAGAGCTCATTGCTGGAGGTAAATTATCTTCATCTCTCTGTCTGTTGTTCATACATAATAGTGATGAGAAACTATTTCTGTTATTGGAAAGGTTTAAAGAATAGCAGGCAATCCAGGTTTGGAGGTTGCCGTTTCCCAGAGGATGAATGTAGGCTGACTGTCCATCTCGTAGTCGGACAATGGGGTTAACAGAGAAAACTGAGGCGCTGCACTTAGCGAATGCCTTTTCTGCCCAGGAACCGCAGAACTGCGTAGTTGTAGGTGGTGGCAACCAGATACAGGAACTAGAGTGAGTGGAAGAATTAATGAAATGAAAAAAATAATCAGCTTCTACACATATATGAGTACTGTAAGCATCTTTTTTGCAAGCAGACAATGAATATTCATTTGTCTCCAAGAGGAGAAGTGATCAGTATAATGCTTTAATCATCCAAGATAGAAAGCAAACTTTAATAGTCATCTCTGACTGTGTGTAGTCACGAACAGAGTTTTGGTTTAGAGAAATCCACACGTTGAAAATTCATTTATTTCTGCTCAATACAAACAAGGTGACTGGAATTTTTTTGCGTGAAGATCATAGCATTGAAAACTGACATTGACAATGTGTCGCCATTCCTCCAAATAATTCACATACTTTGCTGTGTACAGTGTTAATCAGAAGTGGTTCCACTCACAACACCATTCAAAATGATACTTTAAACAGTAAAAGCAGCTCTGTTTCTGGAAACTCATTTTCAAGTGCCTAGATTGAGAAAAAACGTTTATCGGATGTACCAGTGATGGTGTTTTTCCTGCTTCATCATAACATTATATAATATGATAAATGTAGATAATATGATAAAACATATATATCATATTAATGTATGTCCAGGATGAACACTAAAACTGGCCAATCATGCTGTTGTGATGTCACAGCATTGCAATTTAGGGGGGAAAACAATAAAAAGATGCCCGTGTTCAAATATGACCCTCTTGTGGAATAAATGGTAAGCATTTCAAGGGTTTTCTTTATTAATGAATGCAATAAAATATATATATTATCAAGATAGGCTTGCTGCCAGCCAGATTTAGATTACTTGCATTGGTTTGGTAATGATAGTTTTTAAAGCAATAGCTAACTTCTTGACCTGTGCTAACTGAACTCTCAGAAAATATTGTTGGTCACTGGCAATATTAATCCTTGACAAGCACTATTATGATGACGTAGGAAAAACACCAACACCGCAGAGTGGTTTCATTTCAAAATGTAAATTTGATTCAGCTGTTTAAATGGAGTTAGCTTAAATGTCCTAGAAATAATGCAAAAATAGCTCACCAGTGCTAACAGAGTGATCCCAGCACCGGCAAATGCAGCTATGTACAAGTCATATGTGACATAGAACTGGAAGACAAAATAAAAAAAGGTTAGCTTGAAACACATGCAGGGTGTTTAATCAAACTCGTGTGTGTTACTGTGAGCTCTCTCATATGCACGTTGTCCTGCTAATAATTCAAAACAGATTTTATGTCGATTTTGATCAGTGATTTTAATGTGATGATGCCAAAATGCTATATCGAACTGTATAAAGACTCTACTCACTTCACTAGTTTTGCAGATTGCTGCTAAGGTTGTCCCACAAGACTTGCCTGGCATTGCATTCCAAGGAAGCAGACCTTAAATGGAGACATAACATAAGTGAGAAACCTCATACTATGGCTGAATTATGATGAGGTTTGATGATCCGTGTATGCTCTGGCTTGCCTGAAGCATGTCGGGGAAACTATAGTGAAGAAATGACCATAAAGGTGTAGTTCTCTTCATTATTTCCTGACTAATATAGCCATCAGTCTAGCAGCCACTACACGGTGATTAATTGCTTTCAAGGGCACATTAACATTCCCATCAGGGGGACCATGTGGTCAGTAGTTACACGAGCAACGCACCATACTGCCTGGCGTCCATGCAGATCCAGCCATGCTGATTAATGCTGGGGGTTGATTCAGACAGGATGTTGACGGTGTGGCAGGTCTGCTCCATATTGAACAAGAAGAAGACTGGGATAGCACTGAAGGCAAACACCGCCAGCCAGATGAAGGCCAAGATGTACGTCACTATGATGAACTGTTGTAGCAAAAAAGTGAAGCACACAAGGTCACAGAATCGCAACACAGATGCTAATAGATACTTTCCGCGTGATAAATGTGGTGTCATTAAATCTGTAATGAACCATAATTCATGTGGAAATTGCAGAAACAAAGAGCATATTTATTAGACTCAAAACAAGCCAGAATTCAGCATCTCAACAATGTTGACACCTCACATTTCCCCTCCCTCTTCATTTCCTCGCTCCCTCCTCCTCCACCCATGTGCTCACCGTCAGGCTGAGGCAGCGGCCGCACTGGGTACTCCTGAATTCGCCGAAGGTCTGTTTGACAGCACTTGTTGTGTAGAAGCCCTCAGCCAGTAGCAGGATACCATAGAGGAAGAAAAATGAAGCCAGACCATAGATCACGTACTGGAAGTATTTGATACTGGAACAGTCACAGAGAGAAGTCAGTCAATTAGTTCAAACAAAGCAATGCCAGAGACTTAGAAAAAAGAAGCCACAACTGAGAGAAGTTATTGAAAAATCACTCACAAAGAGGCCATGACCACATAGTCCTGAATGTTGCGGGCAAAGTAAGTCTCAACGAGGACTTCGGTTTGGGTCAGCGCTTCGTGCCCGCAGCCACAAAATAATGCCATGCCAGCATAGCACAGCAAGGTGGCCACCAGGGATGGGTAGGGCACTGCCCCAATGCACCGGATACAGCAATCATAGCAACCTGAGGGGGCATAATATATCAGCACACAGGCGGCACACACCGCACATATAACCACACAGCACATCTATGCCACAGTGGGGGACTCTTTCACCCAGTGGGGGAGCTATGAAAAAGGCCTCGCTTTGTCTGAAAATCCATGAGCATACACCAAAACCCCAACAACAGGCAAGAAAGCAAAAGAAAAAGACCAAGAAAAAAAAAGAAGATAAATTAGACAGCAGTGACAAACAAGAGTTCAAGCAGCGTCTCCCAATAAAGCGTCCAAACAAAAGCAGCCAACACGGACTTTATAGCAATCTCACGCACTTCTTCCAGAGCAAGCTGAGCTGTTGAAGCAGGTAGCAAACATCCAAAGTGTTAATAAATGCATTGCCAGAAATGGGATAGAGGAAAGCACCTAAGGCTTTGCAAAGCCAAGGCTGCCTGACCGGAAACATTTGCTGCTTCTGATGCTGTACTCCGCTATAAGAAAGGTTCCAGTGCCAACAAGTGTTGTACAGAGCTCTCTACAAGGTATTGCTACTGTAAAATAAGCCTCTCAGCGCTGACTTCATCCAGTATGTGAAAGCTCAAATGCTTGTGCCAACACCTCACAGCTCTGCTCTTACTAAATCTGGTCCAGCCCTCTTTGTCCAGTGGTCACAGGCGTCACCAGGCGATTGAGGGATGGTGGTGAAACGCTGGCTTCAGGGGGCCCAAAGAAAGAGCATCTCTTTGTGGCAGCAGATACAATATCCATTGTATCTGCCATGATTGGGAAGGAACAAAGGCCAGTGATGTCAAACAAAGACCATGGTGCCACAATACACACATATACTACACTAACGTAATGGCGGAGGGGTCACCGGGACCGTCTCTCCACCACTGCCAATGTCACTACTCAGGGCCTCCTCCCTCCACAGCTGGCTGAGACTGGTACCATGGCACCGAGTGTCAATGTCGGTGGGGGCCGGGTTCAAGTGTTTAAAGAGTGGGTGGAAGCATTATGAAGGAGAGAGGCAATTTGAATATCTTCACAACAACAACAATAGCAAGCCCAACTCAAAATTAGTTAGGCCCAAACATCCCCAAACATGTCTATTTCTGCATTCATCTTTTGCAAGATCTTTTGGTTTTTAGTTGGAAGGAAGAGAAACTGTGAGTTAAACAAACTGTTACTAAAATATAAATAGTAACAGCAGGAAGACTGTTAGTCCCAAAAATGATAGCGCCTACGGACGCCCACGCTTAATCTGTGCCCGGCTGCAGCAGTAGTTGTATTGATAGAGTAATAAACGCCACAAAAGCCTCAGTTTGAATTTCAGTGCAAAGTGCATCAGTGCATTTGCAGCAGATGTCAGGTAATTACTGAAATCTCCAAAGCTGCTTCAAAAAAAACCCCCAAACAAACATGCAGAATTTCACTCAGAGGCTATTTGCAAGTGAGAACATGTTTAGCAGAAGTTGTTTGCGTCCACAATTCTCTTGGAAGTGTGACAAAATATGCCCGTGACACATGTGGGAGTATTTGACCTCTTTCACATGAGTGACCTGGCATGGCCTTGGCATGATGAGAGTTGCTGTCCAGCTCTGTCATGCCACTCTGATTCCACTCTAGTTTACTGCTGAAAGAGATTAGAGCAGGTGACAAGAAGGTAAATAATCCTGGAGCGTGCACATGTTTTTCTTTTTGGTCTTTTGAAATCACCATCATATGTTAACCTGCATCATGTGTTAGAATCAAGGGGCAAAAAGGGAATTAGTGGTAAATCAAAAAATGGGTCTAGAAATGCTTTTGATGAATTAAAACAGAGGATTAATTTGCAGCAATTCTTCCCTCAGACTTGATATCAAAGGACATCAAAAGCAGCATTAGTACTGGTTATTGAAATAGACTTTTTTAAAAATTTTTTTTAAATAAATCCCATCAATAACAAATGATAAGAACCATTAGAAATTCTGTGCACTCACCCATGTCCGGAAAGAAGTGTCAGGTTATTGAAGTTTTGCTGGGTGGCTTTGTGACTGTGATATGAGGATATGAGAAGTTATTCGCCGCCACCCCTATATGAATCTAACTCGCGCTTTTGTCTCATCAACAATAGATAGACCACAACTCCCCGAGTCACATCTTAAAGTCACAAAGACCCATTTCAGCTGCCAGTCATTATTTAAGGAGCCACGGGGAACAGAGAGTGGGCCAAATATTCTAACACGAACTTTCATCTTGGTATCTTCTTCCTTTTACAGCATTTTCATTTCTTTTCTTTCCCTGATTCTATCATAACATATGTGGGTAATTTAATAAACATGCCAGCTTTTACATGCACACTTTACACTTTTAAGCATTCAGTAAAATAACAACTCAGCTATTCTGCGATCTACATTTTTTTTCTACATGTTTTTATCTCTTTACACACGCTTTTGATAAGTCATCTGTTTATTGCACACACCCCATGTCAGACATCAGCACCACAGGTAACAGGTCTCGTGGTTTATAAGTCCATTTGTGCAGAACACTTAAAGATAAGAAGCACGCACAGACAGAAGAGGAAAATAAATCTAAACCTCAGTGACTGACATTGACGAAGTTGAGTAACAAGGGTGACATTGATGGTTGGGTCCAGCTGCTGTCCTCCTTCCCTCCCTCCCTCATGTTTGACCCAGTTGATGTCAAAGCTGGGTTCACTACAAAGGCGCCAGTGTGCAGCAGGAGAAAACACCATGCTTTTTTTTTTTTTTACGAGAGAGTGAAAATCCTCACCCTCCTTTCATTTGCCATTTAAAGCACACAGTGCACAAGTAGACGTAATCAAATATCATCATCAAAAGACACAAATTATCACACTATTATATCACATTTAATTACCAGGAATTAAAAAGGGAATGCTTTAATTATTTTGGAGAAACAGCACTTTATATTATTATACAGTTATCTATCCATCCATTCGCTTCTGCTTATCCAGGGGGTGCTGGAGCCTATCCCAGCTGTCATAGGGCGAGAGGCGGGGTACAACCTGGACAGGTCGCCAGTCTGTCGCAGGGTAACACACAGGGACAGACAACCATTCGCACTCACATTCACTCCTGCATTCACACCTATGGGCAATTCAGATTTTCCAATTAACCTATCCCCACAAAGTGGATGTCTTTGGACTGTGGGAGGAAGCCGGAGTACCCGGGGAGAACCCACGCAAACCTCACACAGAAAGACCCTGCTGATGGTATAATTGAACTCAGGACCTTCTTGCTGTGAAGCAACAGTGCTAACCACCATGCCACCGTGCTGCCTATACAGTTATCTAGTTGTATTAGTTATTGGGACTGCTAGAGATGCAGTGCAATTTTTACCAACTCACCGGATCCTGTAAAAAGCTGGAGGGACTGCTGTGTTCCCGACCCAAAAAATAAATAAAAAAACACTCCTCCTCAGACAGTTCCTTCAAATATAATCAGCTTCTGGATGCTGAAATTGTTTGGTTTAACTTTCCATTCTGCAACCTTTCTCAAAGCAATTACAGATCAAGTGATTTGTTTAGAAAGGATTCATGACACTGGCTCTGATACACTTAAAGTGCAGGGAAGTGACGCCTTTGAAGTCTCTAAGAAGACATATGAGAGAATGTGAAAGAGAGACAGACAAGAAGCATTAATTAACCTCTGTACTGCATATGAGTGTGTACAATGGCTGTCAGCTTTGCTTAATGTTGACAATCAAAGGACGGGGATTAGGTAGGGGGACTGGATTTAGACGCTTGCTGTCTTGGGTGGCATGAAAAGAGACTTTATTAATAAACTGCATTCCACAAAGCTGATGCAGATGGTGGCCGGTGATGTTACCATAGATCATATGATAAATTATTCGGTAGCAGTTAATAAGTATGCGTAACAGCCTCTGGTTAATGCATGAACTGATATTTTAAACAAACATATTACTGCCCAAGCGTTCAACTAACATGCAAATGTTATAAAGGCTATTTTGCATAATCACATAGGAAATTGTAGCTATATTAGTATCGGTCCTACTCTGCAGGGTATGTTAAAATAATGCAATGTAGGCCTATGAGACAGTGTAATTGATATGACACTTTTATAACTGACTGCCTAGGATAGATACACTTGCCAGTATTTACACACTGAACATGGTAATATGCATGTTTATACAGAGGGAGTGGAGAAGTGCCCTGTAAAAGTATTTACATAATCTCTTATCACCGTTATCATAATGTGTGTCGTGTTATCTTATGAAAAAACCAAACAAACAGCTCTCAAACAAACAAACAAGCACTTGGAGGAGAAAAACAAGTCAGGCTCAGTCGGGAGTGACTTCAGTGCCAAGGGCCTCCTGTGGCGAGGGTTAAATTATTTATTTTCCCAGATGCTGAAGTAAGGATGGACTAAGCTTCCCTCCATGTTTGTTTGATTATCTTTAGTGATCTCAGACTCTTTCAGCTGGGTATTTGGGATATGAAACCAGCCAGTGTGTTTTAACATGATTAAAAGATGAAGCCTAAAACAGCAGCAGTAGCAGGAACACCTAAGGAAACATGACGACTGTAAGGAATGTGTTGGTGGTTTTTCTAAAGGTGTGTACCAAGCAAAGAAGATGAAAAGATGAGATCTGGATAATTTTAGTATTCTCAACACTCCACATGCTGGACAAAAGTGCCAATTCATCAGTCAGTGTCTGATGACTACTGGCTGCATTGCCATAGTGTTTGATAGCGAACGCTAGATACAATCATAATCTGTATATAAATGATGGATGTAGATCTGATCATTTATACAGTGCACAATGTGTTACACTCAAGATAACTTCTGTGTATTAGTGCAATAGCTCTTGGCTCTCTAGTGTGGTGTCTTTTGTGTTATTTCTGGCATTGCTGTTCATGCTCTGTAAAGATATGCTCTTATATAGATGTCAGGAGTTTATAAACTGTGTCCTGTGGCTATCATGTTGGACCTCTGGTGAGTTCACAACATCCCAGTGGACATAACAAGACCTCCAGGCTCACCATAGGTTGTTTTGGGGTCTGCCAAGCAATGAAGGTGCCATAAAGAGAGGAAGGCAGAAGCAGGGCTGCCAGGCGGATCTATACACAAAGCCACATGGGTGTATTCAAACATCAGGGATGCATACAGCACTGTGACCCTTCCACAGTTGGGTCTGTCAGACCATCTTTGATTACTCCTTCCCCTAGCACGCAGCCCTCAGGAAAAAACAAAGCCACACATAATGATCATCAAAACCTCCCCAGAGGGCTCTATCACTGAGCTACAGGACTGCTTTGCACACACTAAATGGGAAATTTTTCAAATATACACAAACTGTGCTGCATCTCCACCTGTGTTATTAAGCACATCAGAGTTTTTTCTGACAAGAAACCCTGGATAACTAAGGAAGTCCAGTCTCCCTTGAGGACTGAATGATCTAGCCCTCATGTCCGTTCGAAGACAAGATTGAAAAGTGGCATCAATCAGGCCAAACAGGACTGTAAGAGGAAAATTGAGGTCCACTTTACTGACAATAAACTCAGGCAGGCTTGGCAGGACACACATCACTAATCACAAGGACAGCAATCTCAAACTCAACAACATGAACACTTCCCTGGTAGAGGAGGTAAGCTGCTTTGCTGGCTTTGAGGTTAAAAGACCCAGTTTGGGCCCTCCATCTACACCTACTACCACTGTACAGGAGTGTGATGTGAACCTCATGTTTAGATTGGTAAACTCAAGGAAGGCTGAGAAAAGCTTCTAGCTCAGACAAGGTACCCAACAAAGTGCTCAAGGCGTGTCCCAGTCCAGACCTCAGCATTTTTCACCACTACATCTTTAACCCTTGCACAAATCATTATCCCA